AGAATCTATCCATCCTCGAGAGAGCACTAATCCAATCTTTACAACTCACTTGATGAGATATATTTTTGTAATGTCACAACTTTCTAGATAAAGAATCAAGGGTAGTAGATATAGGCTCACCATAATAAAATTATATTCGTACCAGTTTGCTATGTAAGTTTACATCAAGTTACATGATTTCATGTTTCTATACTTTTTATTTACATTTGTGGGGAATATACTTTTTAACAGGAGTTCAGGTTAGATTTCGTTTTAAAGTTATAGGAATTTTTAGTTGAGTTTCTTTGTTTCAATTCCTATTCAACCAAAGTATTTAATTTCACTTCATTAGGGTTGCATAAAGGTTGGTTTCACAGTATTCCTGAAATGAGTTTAGTTGCTTTCATATATATTTTCCAAGTAAAATCTGCCCTTCATTTGGAATGAATGACATCTTAATATGATTAGTAGGAAATTACATTAAGGTTATTTGAATAGAATGTGACTGAGCTGAGAGATTATTGTGAATCTAATTTGTTAAGAATTCTAAGAATACTAAGTCTTCTTGAATGAAACTATCGATTCTCTAGCCAGAGATGCTCACGCTTAATGTTAACTAAATTTTTCAGCAAGAACTAAGTTACTCTAATTGTTTGAAGTGAGGGGGTATGGTGCTCTAAACCCCTTTTATACGTAACACTTATTTACGAAACCTATTTCTATTGTTGAATGTGGAGGTGAGCACAGTCATATAGAATTTGTATTGGTGCATATTTTGGTGACATAGTGTAAAGATTTGATATCTTCTTTGCGCAGGATTTTTATTGAAATCTACGGAGTATTTTTTTAAGCTCGGTATACAACGAAAAATGGGTGGATGCGTGTAATATAAGGAGTACTACTTCAATTACGATTTGATTTCTTCTTTGCCCATGCCATTTTTGCTATAAAGCAGGATTTCTCTTGGGCAATTATCATATTCACGTCAATGTTATCTTTCTCTTGTGGTGTACAGGTCAAATGTTTGTTATTAAGGAAGCATGACTACACTTTTACCTTTCTTCTTGGCTGTGTACTTACCAACATGCCCCGGTGTTTGTGGCTACCATCTTTCCAATATGGTTAAATCGGCCACAAACTACAATTCAAGTGTCAAAACAATCAAGTGGTCAAAGATCAGGCTTACCAGTATGCTTAGTCTGTGATGTTCACTAAATTCTCCAATGAGCACAAATTTGACAGATTATTGGTAAAAGCTCCCAGTAAATGATAGAATCTTTAGTTCTTTAGAAGTTTAAAATATCATGGGGGAAAAAGATTAAATATAAGCATACCTGTTGCTTCGTCCTTATATCAATTGTGTTGGATCTTTATATCCTATGCAGTTGACACAATACTTCATATCCATGCTTCCTTAATGGGGTGTAGACTACGCTATTATTATGTTGTGTGTTTCAAATGTTTGTTTACAAACTCTGCTTACATCCACTGTGGGTTGTGATTGTTTCGGTACAAATTTCAGTAGTACATCGCACCTGCATATGGTTTGGTGCCTGGTAGGGGGAGATAAGGTTCATGGTCAAAGTTTAAGTCTTGGTCAATGGAGGTTCATGGTCAGAGTTTAGATGAGAGGGACACAACACTTGAACACGTGTGACCCTTGGATTCGGATTGATACCAAGTGAATAAGTGATACGGAGTATATATTATATACTATGTACTAGTATGTATTTACAGATAAAGAGTAAATTTTAAAACTCTTTAGAAGTGTCTACATTTTTTCTTAGGAGTGGGATCGGTCCATCTGGGTCGGGTTTTTGGTAAACCCGTAAATTACTCGGAAGGTTTCGGGTTATTAAAATTAGGAACCGGAACAAAGCCCATTTTATTCGGTCTGAGTCGTGTTTTGATAGATCGGGTTCGGTCCGGGTTCAAGTTGGGCCGATTAAAGCCTGAATGTTAAAAATCACATTGCAAACAATGATAGAGGGACAAATATTGAAAACGAGAATATTGTAAACAAGAAAGTGTTACAATCTTTTAGCGCAATCTATTGTGTTTTAAAATTAGATTTATAGTGCGTGCTAATTACTACTCCGTATTTTGTGGAGCTATACAAATTTGTGTATTACTTCGTACTTTATAATGATTGGTTAATCGTATTAAATATATCTCAATTTATGTAAAACTTTATTATTGTATGGATTATAATTGTAAACGATTTAATAAAAATTACAAGTTCGATTTTCATTCCAAATTTGACTAATATTAATTACATCAATGAAATTTCACCGACCGTGCATCACAAGGGTGCAACAAATTGTAAAAGAGCAATACCCTTCAAATGTTGTCTTGAAAGAAGTGTTTCAAAATCTTCAGATTTTTACATGTCATTTTAGGTTAAGAAACTTCTCCATGTGTATAAATTATAGATTTTAGTTTTCTTATGTTTCATTTTTATGTTTATATATTACTCTTTGATTTATAATACTTGGATTAGATATTTCAGTCGTGCATCGCACGAGTGAGAATATTAGTATGAATAATAGATCAATTTTACCCTCCTGGTTTGTACATTCGTAGCAATTTCTAAACTAATGCAAAGCGACTCACATGTACATATCTTTAGTAATATACGTGTATACGGTATAATAATACTCCATATAAAAAAAATACTACCTCCGTTCCCGAAACAACTTCTCGGTTTGACTTACACACATGTTAAAGAAATAAACTTACTAGGGGGTAAATTTTACTGTTTCGACACTGTTTTGCACTGCTTTGACGTAGATAATTTGCCATTTAAGGAAATGAGAAGTTAAATTAGAGACATCCAAATAAGGAAAGTGAGAAGTTGTTTCAGGGACAGAGAGAGTATATATAAAATTAGTTCGTACTACTAAGTTTGGAAACTGGGGATTTATTGGAAAACTTATTGCTATTGGAAGTTTATTTTTTTTAAGGGAAAACTGTCAAATAGGTCCTCGAAATTTCATAAAAAGGTGAAATAAGTCCTTAAATAGGAGGCTCTGTCCGACCGTCGCGATCTGGGGCGGTTCACGGTGGAATTTTCTGATGAATTTTTTTAGCATCTTATTCATCAAGTCTAGTTTACTCATACCAAATTTCAGCTAAAACATCAATCGGGAACGCATTCAAATTAATTCTTGAAGATGACTATGCAGTTAAATGCACAGTTTTTTTTAAGAATTAATTTGAATGCGTTCCTGAATGAAGTTTTAGCTGAAATTTGGTATGAGTAAACTAGACTTGATGAATTAGATGCTACAAAATTTTCATCAAAAAGTTTCACTGGGAACCGCCCCAAATCGCGAAGGCCGGACAGAGCCTCCTATATAACGACTTATTTGACCTTTTTGTGAAAGTTCGAGGACCTATTTGACAGTTTTCTCTTTTTTAATCTTGGAGTGCTAGTACGTAGTAATTTTAAGAATTTACCATTTTCTTTTTCGTGGTTGTGTGGTTAACTGAGTATCGGTTAACCAATGTTATGGTACGGATAATTGTACCAACAATATGCGTAGAGCCCGTTTGGAAGTACGAAAATCGGCTGCTTTGGCCGATTCTGCTGAAATTTATGGTGTTCTGGATGAAGTGGCTGCATTGGCTGATTCTGCTGATTTAAGAAAAAATTATTTTTAAAATATACTCCGTATTTTGTTAATAAAATAAATAAAAGTTATATGTAAAAATAGCTAAAATGGTCATCTACAGGAACTTCAGCCGATACGGCTAGAAAAGTAACTCCAACGTTACTTTTTCTGCTTATTACACAATTCAGCGCGTGAAAGCAAAAATTACGTGTATGGTGATAAATTTGAATGATAAGTCTGATAAGCCGAAAAACAGTGTTGTCAAATGGGCTCGTAGTATGAACCAGTATTGCGTTTAACCGGAAATTGATTAACCGAAGTCCGGTTAACCAACCATGCTCACCCCTAATAATAGAAATAAATAGGGATGGCAATGGGGCGGGGTTGGGGCGGGGGTTCACTCCCCCATCCCCCGCCCCGTGTCTAAAAAATCGCCCCCACCCCCGCCCCATCCCCCACTACTATTCGACCCGCCCCATCCCCGCCCCGACCCGCTAGACCCACGGGTACCCAACGGGGAAGTACTCGTCAAAAATTAACATCATTTTAGACTCTGGCAATTTTTCAAAAATTTAACAACACTTCTAGTAGCCAATTTTTTTTTTACTTTTTAAGTGTCAATGTAATCTTACATCTCATTTCAAATCTAGAACACATTATACGCGTTCTAAATTAGTAATTTTTATCAAACTCTAAATTAGCATTGATTAGCTCTATAATATTTTCTTAAACTCTGCATTCAATCAATCATGGTCATTTGACGGCATCTAGGATGACATATGATCACCAAATTTTAAGAGCCCTAACTACAATCATAAAGATGACATTCAAAAGAAAAGAATTAATGCATTATAATAGTAAAGGAAAAAAACTTTCACACCGTACCTGAGGCATTTAAGCTAATATCACTTTATAACTTTCCCAAATTCATTTTATTTTATCTCTAAAAAATTCATTTTACTTTATGATTTTGATAAGCAATTTTACAAGATAGCTTAGTTATTAAACAAGAATTAGATAGATCCATTACGCACAATCCATTAGATAGGAAACCACTAAACCCACCGGACCACCATGCTATTTTAATTACTTCGTATTAGTATTACTATTATTATTAGTATTATTATTGAGATTATTATTATTAATTATTACGGGGGACGGGGCGGGGACGGTGCGGGGGGTGCATAACCCATCACCCGCCCCATATTTTTGCGGGGAGAAAATATCTCCCCCACCCCACCACCCGCCCCACCCCACCACCCGCCCCAACTCCCCCCCCACGGGGCGGTTCCCCACGGGCCCCCGCCCCCATTGCCATCCTTAGAAATAAAGTTAAAATCCAGAAAATAATATAATTGTGTAATTTTTTCCGATGTACCAACAAAAATCTGTATTAGTGCAATAATTGAGTTGGGCCTGAAATTTGATGTTGTAGAAGAAAGTGAGCCCAGCCCGGCTTGCTCCTTTACACGTTCTTGTACGCCTACTTTGTTAGGGTTTAGTAAAGTAACGCGGGTTCTGCTGCTTCACATATTATCCGGCACGCAGACACTCAAATCAGACAGAGAGAGGAGGAGCCATGGGTAAGATCGACGGAAACTCCATATCTCCGATTTCTTCGTTTCAGCCTTTGCTTTCTTAAGCTTTATCGAATTGATTTATATTCCTTGAATTGAATCTGCAGCGAGGATCAAGGTACATGAGCTGAGGCAGAAGACGAAGGCTGAGCTTTTGGCTCAGCTGAAGGATCTGAAGCAGGAGCTCGCCTCACTCCGAGTCGCCAAGGTCACCGGCGGCGCCCCCAATAAGCTCTCCAAGATGTAAATCGTCTCTTTTACTTTATGTTGATTTTTTATATAACTTTTTGCCAGTGATTTCATATCTAATTTCTGTATATGTATTTTATCGTGCATTGATCGATGTTGAAATAAAAACTTAATGCTGTGCAGTAAGGTGGTGCGGATGTCAATTGCTCAAGTGTTGACTGTGATTTCCCAGACGCAGAAAGCTGCACTAAGGTCAGCTTACAAGAACAAGAAGTACTTGCCCCTCGACCTACGTCCTAAGAAGACCAGAGCCATCCGCAGGCGCCTCACTAAGCACCAGGTACATGCCAAATTGCATTCTTACTCCAAAGAACTGCATTTTCAGAGATTCAGGTCTAATATGTTGAACATTTGTATGATAAAAGAGAGTAAATCTGTGTTCTCTTTTGTTTCTTTTTCACTTTTTATTTGAAGAATATGTTTACTTTATCCCATAAGCTTAGTATCTTACTCTGTACTATCTATCTATGTCATCCTAATCTAGACACCTTTCATCCACTCTTCCCCGGAAGAGTTACATCACTTGGAACGCCACTTTTGAAAACTGCCTTTAAATTAAGCATGGTTTAATTGACACTTCTACTTGACAGGTAGTATTCAATATTTCAATTTGATTATACAGTCGTCCTTGTATAAACAAATCAACCAATGGTCTTTGTATAATTGAGTGAAATTTTATCCGGGCCTCGCTTCATGGTCACATGTATCAAATATTGATTTGACTAATATTTGGACCCTACATTGATTTAGGTCATCCAACTTCAAGTTGAACAACTAATGCGAGTTTTACACATACCACTTGTGGCCTCATGAGCCATGTATCATGAGCCATTATATAGTTCTATAATATTTGGTGGTTGTTGTATAAGAATAGTTGCTTTCTTTCTTAAGTAAATGATTTTCAATGGCCATTGTTATTCACTACTTGAAGTTGTACACCTTGATATTTCCCAAACAGTGTATATTCTTTTAAAGTCACGATATCAGAATGAGTAATGCTAGAGGACACTAGGTTATCACTCAGAGTGTCTACCTCAACTGAAATTTCTACAATATTTTTTCATTACAATTGCTTTTCATAATGTATGGGTATATACCTTCAAAAAAATGTATGGGTATATTTGCAGTGCCTGAGGAAAACTAGAGGCTTACTCTTAATAATTCATGGTGTAGTTGTTATTTCATATGTAATGGTGGTAAAATCATTTCGTAACCCTAGGGACTAGTATGTTTCATGTTAGTATTATGTAGGCTGGTGTTAACTCAAACCTCTGACTATGTGCAGGCATCCCTAAAGACCGAAAGGCAGAAGAAGAGAGAAATGTATTTCCCTTTAAGAAAGTATGCTATTAAAGTTTAATTATTATTACTCACTTAGTGAGTTGTTTGGCTGAACCTGGAGGATACTCTGCTCCTTAATTTGTTGTTTTTGTTTTGATAACCATACAGCACCAATGTGTTAATTTTGTCTTTGCTTCTTGAGATTATTTTGATTTGGACTTTTTTATTGGTCAAAGATGTGGTTATCATTCTTTTTCACCGTGTTCCGGGTTATTATCCATGTCTGCTCTACTATGTTGTGGCGTTCTTACTAAGCATGCTAGTAGGTCAGGGCTGGGCAGAAGTGCAAGACCCAGATCCATGCAGGGCGGGTCTGCCTGGAAATGTCAAAAAATCAAACGGAGTATATTTAAATCAAAGTCATTATGGAAATGTCAAAAATTCTGAAAAAGTACTTAAACTTGAATATTTAATCTGTTTATACTAATAATTGAATATAAAAAATGTAATATAAAAAAGACATCAACAATATATTGTTCATCTCATATTCTCATTCAATTGAAAATATTAATACGATATTTACTACTACTTCTGTCCTAATGGACCTTGTTAAGCGTGAAGTAGGTAAGAAATAAGAAAAGTAAAAATTGTATGGTTTAGATTTGTGCAGAGGAGATGAAAACGTGTAGAACCATAAATTAATAATTTTAATTGGAAATTGACAAACTTTTTTGAGATAACAAAAATGAAAAAGTTTGCAAAATCCAATGGAACAATGGGGTATATAATACCAAAGAATTTTTTGTTTATTTTACACATGTTTGTCTATGTATATAATATAAAGTATATTTGTAGTATAATTTAGGCATGGACTCGGTTCGGGCTGGGCCCGGTTCGGGCCTTGGACCGGCCGGGCCTCGGTTCACGGTTTGGGAGGCCCGGAACCGGCCTGGGTAACCCCGGGTCCGGTTCGGGCCGGGCCGCCTGCCCGGTTCATGGGCTGGCCCCGGTTCGGGCCGATCCTTTTAATTTTTTTTTATATTCTATACTATATAATTATAATAATTGTTATTAAAAACAAAATTCAAGTGCATTTATTTGAAATAGGAAGTACATTTGAGAATTGAGGAAAAAATAACAATATGAAATACATTTTCGAATAAATATCAATTGGGATTTCCGCCACCGTTGGTTGTTGTTTTACCTTTGTCACATGACTTCATATGTTTCATTGGCATCCCGACCCCGTGTGAACGCCCCAAGCAACACTCTTTCTTGCACCACTTGCAAGTTGCCCATCACAGTCCGGTCTTCGGGTCCTTCCACTTATCAAAGTTGTTTTGCATAACAGAAGAATTACTTTCCATCTTTAAAATGATAGATGTATAAGTAGAAATGTAGGATAATAAGAGAAGATGAAGATGGAGAAGAGTTGGAGAAGAGGTGTAGAAAATGGTAGAAAATAAATGTATTTATAGATTTTTTTGAACCCCACCCCCACCCCACCACCCCCCGCGACCCCCCCTGCCCCCCACCCTAAGCCCCAACGGCTATATAGCCGTTTGGGAGCAATCTCCCACTTCAAAATGTTTTAATTTTTTTTTTTGAAAATTATACATATTGTGTATAATTTACTTAGAAAAGTGATTTGATTTAGAAAAGTGTAAGGAAAGTGATATGATTTAGAAAATTATACATATTGTGTAAGGAAAATGTTTTTAATTTTTTAATTAAGTAAAACTATTTTTACTTAGAAAAGTGATTTGATTTATAATTTACAAATGTTACAAAATAGGTGTATAAGTTGTAACTTGTAAGTTTGTAACAAATTAATTAATTTACATATTAAAATTACATATTTTAATTTAAAAACATCCTTTAAATTTTACAAAAATAATTTCAAGTTGTAAGTTATAAGTTTGTAAAATTGTAACCAATTAATTAATTTGAGAAGTGCTACATATGAAGTACAAGTTTACAAATGAATTTTATTGAATTGAATTATTGAATTGATGTACACAATAATATAAAATAATTCAAGTGTATTTATTTCAAATAAGAAGTACAATTGAGAATTAGGATGCATTTAAAATATGTAATACATTTTGAAATAAAAAATCAATCGGAATCTCCGCCTTCGGTGGTTGTTTCCTCCATAAAGTGGCGGGTGGGAGCGATGGTCATTTTTTGAGTGTTCTTCGTTTGGCCTTCAACCAATCATGGAAGCAAACTAGCGTCTCAAGAGAGCTCGGGCTCAACCTCGTTCTATAATCAGTTAGGACGTTGCCGGCCGCACTAAATTCTTGTTCCACGGCAACTGTTGATATCGGCGTTGCTAGCACTTGCTTAGCCAGTTTTGATAAAATCGGGAACGTTCTTTCATTGTCCTTCCACCACTTAAGAACGTCAAAATCATCCCCAACTTCATAATCAACATTCAATATTAGATACAAAGAAAGCTCGTTAACTGAGCTTTGTTCAGTAGCGGGAGTTGCTCTACTTTTTTTCATAAGAGAACCAAATGCAGATTTTAAAAGTGATTTTCCTTTAGATGAAGAAGTTGTTCGCGGCATGGGAGGGGGTGCATTACCATATTGTGCATAAAATTCATTATACAATTGATAAAATAAATTACTGACCTCGTTGTATTCTTGTTTAGGGTCGATGGGATTATCATCGAACTCTTGAGTTGGAAAAAAACAATTATAATAGTAAGCTATACAAGTTGGCAACGCGGCAAGTGTATAACGAGGATCAAGAAAAAATGCAATACCATATATATGCGTAACATGTGAATAATATTTTAAATTTTTTTGTTTCATGAAATCACAAAAATAACTAACGTAAGTGGCATCGAAAAATTCTAAAAATGCACCGGCGAGATTAACAGCTTCAACAAAAAATTCGTTTGCGGTAGGTTTATAAACATGACTAAAAGTTTGAGTTGCGTTATTAAAATATACCAAAACATTAACAATTTTTTCACAAGTGTCGATGTCAGCCGGGTTTATAATATAGTTACAAGTTTGCCTTAAAAAAGCAGGAAAATGATCTTTATATCTAATAAGTACTTGAATTAAGTTATAAGTACTATTCCAACGAATAGACAAATCTTTATGAAAAGCACAATAATTGACACGTCTTTCCTTCAAATATTGCCGCCATTGCATTTTTAGTGGAGTGTTAGCCCATATCAATTTAATTCCCCCCTTCACTACCTCCAAAGCATGTCCTAATGCCGCTAATCCATCTTGTACACACAAATTTAGAATATGACATGCACAACGTTGAGGAAAAAACCTACCCATCAATGTAGAAGCACCACACAATTCACGCAATCTAGGTATAGCAGCAATATTATTACTAGCATTATCAAAACCTACAGCAAACACCTTATCAAACAAATTATACTCAATTAAAATACGCTCAATGAGAATATAAATATTATCAGCGGTATGACGATCATTGAATTCACGAAAAGCAAGAACACGTTTATGCATATTCCAATCATCATCAATATAATGTGCAGTAAGACCCAAATAATATAAATGATGATAAGTATCCTCCCATATATCGCTACAAATACTAACACGTCCATTAAAGTTTGCGAAAAATGTTTGTAAATTTTCTTTTTCGAAGTTATATGGCCTTATAACTTCTTTTTTAATCGTTTTGCGACTATAATTTCTAAATTGAGGATTTAAAGTGCCTTGAGCATAATCTCTTAAAGCAAGACTTTCGGAAAAAATATAGGGTAAATTTTCTTCAACAATTAAATGAGACATACCAGTCAAATGTTTTTTATCATCATAGGAGAAATTACCAAAGGGTTGAGAATTTGCAAACCTTGATATTTGTGTTTGCTTCCCCTTGCCCTTGTCTATTTTCGCATACTCCACAAGATGGGCGGACTTAAGATGCCTTGTGAGACTCCCGTATCCGCCATAAGTTCCCAAGCTATACTCTTTGCCGCAATGATTGCAACTTGCGTACCATTTTTCGGTATTTTTGTCTTTCCTTTTTGTAAAATTGTTTTCAATAACAGGAGATTTAGATTTCTTACCAGTTTGGGTTGAACCGCCCTCGTCCTCCAAGTCTTGCTCATCATCCGGGGTGCCGTGAGTCCCGTCGCCCCCCGCGTCCTCCTCCGCATCGTCATCCTCGAGCTCCTCTTCATCAATGGTTGTCGGGATGGGTTGTTCTTGTGCAAAGCGTGGATCGTTTTAGGACAATAGGTTTTGTAGATGCTCGTCGGGCATCATCATATCATCTCTCCGTTGGTAATCCGTTTCAAAGTCATCTCGACTTTGAAAAGAAGACTCGGCCCGCGCTTTACCTTTGCCTTTGCGTGAAGTAGGACGAGTCGACGCAATCTCCCTCTTGCGGTTGCGTTGGAGATTACCCACATCTACAGAATGTCTACCACGTTCCATCTTTAAAATTGAACAAATATTAAATGATATCAAATATTTTATATGAGTACAATAGTAATAATAAAATGTGACTAAGAAAACTATTGCAAATTCGAACTAAAATATGAGTATAAAAATCGAACTACTTCTAATTAATACTTTAATGAGAAATGTATCAATTAACTAAATATTAACTAGTTTGACTAATATAAATATGAGAAATGTAAAAATTAACTAGTTTTTTTTTTACTTTAATGAGCAATGTACAAATTAACTAATATTAATATGAGAAATGTAACAATTAGGTATTTTAACTAATATTAATATGACAAATTTAACAATTAACTACTTTAGGTAGTTTTTAAAATGACAAATGTAAAAATTTACTAGTTATTTTTACCTTAATGAGAAATGTATACTTTAACTAATATTAATATGACAAATGTAAAAATGTACTACTTTTTTTACTTTAATGAGAAATGTAGCAAGTAACTAATATTAATATGAAAAATGTACCAATTAAGTAGTTTAACTAATATTATTATGACAAATGTAAAACTTAACTAGTTATTTTTACTTTAATGAGCAATGTATGAAATAACTAATTTTAATATGACAAATGAAACAATTAAGTACTTTAACTAATTGAAATATGACAAATGTAAAAATATACTACTTTAACTATTTTTTTCTTTATAGAGAAATGTAGAGAAATGTAACAATTAAATAATTTAATAGATAAATGAGAAGTCTAACAATTAACTACTATTATAAGTAATATATAATATAATGTTTATAGTATATAATATAGAAGTATATTACTATAAGATGAGTAATACACTTATACTTAATACTTTAATATATATATATATATATATA